TTCAAGCCTGCAATCCTCTTTGTCAAGGTCTTATCAGAGTCTCTCTCTTGTCCAGTTTATTGTCTTCTTGGTTCAGTAATTTGACTCGACACTGTCACCATATCCATGCCACTTACGGCATTAATTTTCACAATATCTCATTTATTTGATAGCAAGTATACTCCAGTCTCACTGAGCAAACCACCAAAGTCTGGATTGTCAAGTTGGATGGAAAAATAATTTGGCACTATAGATTCCCTCATAACTGTTCGGCGCGTGCACCGAGTGAATCTGGCGGTCAAGACGGATAATGTCTATTATCAAATCCGTATACTATGAGCCGGCTAACTCAGGTTTCTGCCGCATCTTTCACGCTTGCATCCATAATTTCAAGCCTATGACTTTCATATGGCCTAGTCTCTTGTGAGCCTGCCAGAAATAATGTAGCTATTTACTTACTTAGTTTGAATTCACTACCGACGTATCTTCTTGACTTCCGAGTGTCTATCAGAAACCTCCACGATAACCGTTTTATTTATTTTAAAAATATTTCTTTGATTTAATCATCTTCTTTCTACTGAGCTTGCTGTTCCCTGATCTCCTATGAGATTGCTTAGACAATAGGAAATTTTTTCGCAAATTTTGCTTTCTTCTAATTCCCCATTCACTAGTTGTCTTTTAGACAGGTCTCTCAAATCTTGCGTTTTCTTGTATTCTCACCGTATACGGCCAGTCTTTCTGTCGATTTCCAGTCGATTTCGTGGCCTGTTCATGCTATGTGTTCCACTATTTTCAATATTTCTGTAGCCATGTTTCAGCAGAGTCTTTGATGTTCCTTAAGTCCTAGGCTTATTTTTCTAACTGTTTCATCAATACACTTCTGCTCACAGTTTCCACATTTTATGTTATTCTTATCCTTTTGAGAAGCAAGGCTATTTAAAATTCAATGTAAACGTAAAGTCTAATTATATCAATGTAAGAAAATTCTACTCCCTGTCCTTCATCAGGAAAACGAAATAGGGTGAATACATCTAATATATGTGATTTACTGGTAGTTTAAAAAACCCACATACAAACGAAAAATTAGATAGATTAGTTGAAAAAGATGTCCAAGAAACAAGCAGGCTAAAAAACACACAAGAAGGTATTCATCAATATTTTTTCATGAACTGACCTATTGTCATAGCTGGCTCAGATACCGAGTGTGCAGACAATACAATTTCATCTCTATTCAGCTCGGCAGCTTGCTGACGCTGACCTGCCTGCTTAAGTTGCTCTAGAAGGTCTTTATTTTGCTCAGCCAGACTTTGTCTCATCGCTTCAAGACGCTTGATAGCCTGTGACAGAGTCTCTATTCGACGGGCGTCACGACGCCGACTGCCGGCTGTCGATTCGCGACTGGGATTGTTGCCCCATTTACGAGTCTCGGGACTGCCAGAAGCAATGACTTCACTGGCAAGCTGAAGTTGAACTCGAAGCCGATCTATCTCAGCATAGGTGGCCTCTAGCTTTGCACGTGTCTCCTCCATTCGTGTGTACCGGATGTCGGCCTGAATAAGGCTGGTAAGAGTAAAGGCCGATACATAGCAAGAGGCTATACAAAGGCAAAGGTTAAGAAAACCGAGCAAATTTTCTGGCTTACCTCAGTTCATAATCTTTATCCTTCAAACGCAGCGTTAACTTGAAGATATTTTGCTTCAGATTTCTTATGCTTCGAGTCATATTTATTTTTGTATCATCCAATGATGCAGACAAATTATTATTCTTAAATAAGTACATCAGATTTGAATAATGAAAGGCTTACATTCGCTGCATTTAAAATACTGCTAATCTCTCTCTCTTTCCTCATTAACTCTTCGTTTATCTGTCTAAATTTAGCCTTTAGTACATCATTTTCTCCAGTAATCTCAACAAGATGCTTAAAAAAGAATAATTAAAGGGCATGCATAACAAAATTGAATTAAGGATAAAATCTAAGTACAATAAGATTAATAAATAGTTAATTAAAAGTTTCAGAGTAAAATATACTTATTAGGAAAGTAGGCACCAATAGAATAATTATGGGACTACTATATTACTAAAATCAATAAAATAAATGCTAAAGAGAAGACAAGCATCAATATTTCCCAATGCGATATTTATAAATCGTCCAGATTAAGACAAAGTTTAACGTAGGTTGGTTGTATAAATTGTGAAGAATGGCTTATACAAGCAGCCTATTTACACAGCATCTGCTATATTCAGAACTTGGAAAGGAAAATCAAAGGAAAAAAGCCGTTATAAATGCCACAAAATAAGCCAAGTTATAATATCGACGAAAATAAAATGTCTTCATAAATAAGTCTTAGGTTCAAAAAAGGTTGTGCATGAAGAATATAAAGGTTTAAATACATTGGAAAAAACAAGGCTAACAGAACAAAATAACAACTAACTATCATTTATATGAGAATGAAAAATGGTCGCATTAGATTTGGTCGCAGGCTACCTTATCCATAACTTCGACCGGGAGACAAATTCATCTTGAAGAACATACCAAGTCCTTCGTCCTCTGACATAGTGTTCATGACCATTTCCAGCATCTGACCGTTTACTTAGTACATTTTCAGATTTTTCGCCGGCACCATCCTTAGCGAAGATAACAACTTATCAGTAACAAATGAAGACAATAAGCACCAAATCAACCTATGCTGCTGTAGGTGACATATGAACCAAGAGTTGAGTTTACCCATAATGAGATGAGCAGGCTTTATGATGTCTGTACATTTCAATTTCCTCGCAAAGGCCTCATCAATACCCTTAACAAGATTCAATACCGGCTCGTCTGTAACTTGGACACAATATCAATTCATTACGCAGATATGAGTACCAGTTGATCACAGAGCAGTATGGTAGTGAGGCTGGTGCATACGCAGTATTAAAGGCTTGAGGAAGAGTGTAGAACATAACGCCGGATACGGTACCAGCGATGTAGTGAAATCATTGAAACAGGAAAATAAGAGAAGGATCCTGTGGAACAAGAGGAGAACTCTGATGGGACCCGAATGGAGAGGATTGCGGATTAACCCGAAATCTTAGATCAACACTACCGGCATAGTGGGAGGTATGTGGAGACCAGCGGCATGTGTGAATATGTTTCTAATAGATTTAGATAAACAAATAAGAAATTGTTATATAGAAGGAGTGATACGAGAATATAGTATAGATGAATACCAAAGGACAGAAGTAGAGATAGCACATCTGTTTAGCGGAGAATTGATCAAAGGATGGGCTTCACTTGTCTTTTTGACGAGTCCGTAGCTTGGTGCGGAGAATGGCAAAACTCACTGATTATGCCGACTATGATGCCGGCGAAGCGTTTGAGAATGTACCAAGGCGACTGATTTTATTTCAAAACGGCATGATGCTCATCACGGGAATCGGAGGAAAGTACTAAACTTATCATCAATTTCTCCCAATCCCGAAACAACCGCGTTCCTAGAAAAAGGACTCAATTTTTTAATTCAACATAACAGAAGCCTTCTAGGAGACATCCTGGGGGAGGTTATCAATATCGCCGACAGGTTCTCTGAGGAGACAAAACGGGAAATAAAGATGGAACAAATTCCAAAGATCTTAACACAATAGGAGCCTATACACAGGAACAGATTTGCCGTGATACGCAAAACTCTGGAAACGAATCAACAATTAGTCCTTCAGGTGGACAAAGGAGAAACTACAGTGATACTAGACAAAAAACAATATACTGAAAAGATGGAACAAATTATACGAGACAGGACCACATATAGTATATTAAACAAGGACCCAACTATGAAGATCAATGGAATCTTAAATGACATGCTGAAAGCTATGCATAAAAATGGGAAAAATGACTCATGGGCAAGAAATTCAATCCTAAGAAAGGATGTACGCCCACCAATAGCCTACAGATTAGCGAAGATACACAAAGAAGGCGAACCACTTAAACTGATAGTTAACAACAAGTATGAAACAACACACAAATTGACAAAGTTTATATATTTGAAACTTAAGAAATTAAATGAGAGGCTATCAAACAATATGAAAAATTCATATGAATTTTCTCAAAAAATCAAAAACTCCGGTTGCGCAAGGTCGGAAACGTCTGGTTTTGTTGATGAGCCTATTTTTTGTTTTGGGTCGCAATGCGAGAGAGAAACAGTGAGCTAAAAGGACAGAGAATTGACTAACATTAGAACAAAAACAAGAAAAGACTAGTCGCGTCACCTCCT